TTGGATGTGAGCCTTGCAATTTTCATGTGAATCTTTAAATTAAAATTTTGGATATAAATCTCACAAATGTAAACTTAAAATCTTACGAATTTGAATTTTTACGAAGCTGAAAAATCTTGCGAATCTTGAAATCTTACGAATCTAAATTCTTATGAAACTAAAAAACTCTTATGAATCTTAAAATCTTATGAATATGAATTTTTACGAAGCTAAAAAGTCTTGCGAATTTGAAATTTTGTGAATCAAATTCTTGTGAAACTAAAATTTTGGGAATCAAATTCTGGTGAATTTTTGCAAAACCAAAAAATCTTACAAATATGAAATTTTGTGAATCAAATTCTTGTGAAACTAAAATTTTGATAATCAAATTTTGGTGAATTCTTGCGAAGCTGAAAAATCTTGTGAATCTGAAATTTTGAGAATCAAATTTTTGTGAATTTTTGTGAAGTTGAAAAGTTCTTATGAATTTAAAAATTCTTGTGAATCTTTGAATTACGAACCTTTAAATTTCAAACTCAAATAGTGAATATTTGAGTTTTAATTGCAAATGTCGGATCATAAAGTTTTGAATACTTCAAATTATGAATTTTTGAAGTTTCAAGATTTTGTAATTTTTCAAAGTTGTTAAGCCTCTGATTATAGGAGCCTTATTTATTTTTTGAAAGTTGTTGAGCCTTTATTTAGAGAAGCCTTTATTTTTTGAAAGTCGTTGAGCCTTTACTTAAATGAGCTTTATTTATTTATTTTTTAAAGTTGTTAAGCCTTTATTTAGATGAGTCTTATTTATTTTTCAAAGTCGTTGAACCTCTATTTAGAAGAGCCTTATTTATTTTTTCAAAGTCGTTGAGCCTCATTTAGAGGAGCTTTATTTATTTTTCAAAGTTGTTGAGTCTCTGTTTAGAAGAGACTTATTTACTTTTCCAAAATCGTTAAGCCTTTATTTAGAGGAACCCTACTTATTTTCCAAAATTGTTGAGCCTCTGCTTAAAGGAGTTTTATTTATTTTTTAAAGTTATTGAGCCTCTATTTAGAGGAACCTTATTTATTTTTCAAAGTTGTTGAGCTTCTGTTTAGAGGAGCTTATTTATTTATTTTTTAAGTCATGGAGCCCTATTAGAGGAGTTTTTAGGAAGTGTGAGTATGCTTAAAAAACAAAAAAAATGTCAAGTTGATTTTGATTAGTTTTCTATGTCTTTGCACAATTTTTGTTTCACAAAAAAATACAAATAGAGGTAGCTGTAGACACTCAAATATGTTTGGAGTTCTACTCAATCTGGTTTCTATTAATTAAAATAATAATAAATATAAAAAATACAAAAAAAATTATGGCAAGTTGAGTTTGTATAAGACTGTGTGTGAGGAGTTTAAATTAGACTTAAAATTTTTAGTTAAAATTAAAAAAGAATTGAATTCTTTTCTGGTATAAGGTTCTTTTGATCAAAACCTTATAAATATAGATATTAAGTAGGCCTTAAGGAACAGATCACAGAGAAACAAAACACACAAGAATTAAAAAAAGAGATCGCAGAGATCAAAGACATAGAAAACAATGTTCAAAGAAAAAAAAATCACACGAAAACAGCTAGAAAGTGTGAAAAATTTTTTAGGAAATTTTTTGAAAAAAATAAGGTTTTTTTTAAAAAAATTTTTGAAAAATTTTCATATTTCGACGAAATTTTTCAACGAGTTTGAAGTTTCTAGCAACTTTCTGATGACATTTTTAGTTTTTAGTGAAGTTCTCAGTTTATGGCATTCATTTTCCAGAAATAGATGAACTTTCGACCAAATTATGACGAACAAACCTAGATTTTGGTAACATTTTTAAAATCTAGTGAATATTCAACTAGAGTTCATCTGATCTAAAGAAAGAGGGAGAGAAAAGGGAAGAAGAGAGAAAGGAGAAACAAGAAATCTATAGAAAAAGTCAAAAGCTAACATTTTATATCATCTCAAAACGACATCGTTTTGGACATTTTATTTAAGCCAAGATCTATGCATTTTTCATTTGGGTGACCTGACTCGTAACATTGACCCGATTTTGACCCGTGTACCAACCAAGTTGAGCCACACCGAACCGCTAAGCTATATCCCTAGAGCCAAATTTTGTGCCTGAAGCCGAGTAACGCTGAAGCTATCAAGTCGAGTCGTTTTCATTTTTGGCATTTATTTATTTTAGTTTTTTTTTGTATGGTTAAATTTTGAAAAAAATAAAAAATATGAAAACATAATAAAATATCTGAGAATAAATAATAATTATCCAATGATGAAATTTTTAGATATTTCAAATGATAAATTTCTATAAAAATTCTTAGTTGAGAAATTTTTCTTTAAATTTATCCCAAATTACGAAATAATTTAAAAAAAGTTTCAATAATAATAATTAATATTTATTTTCAAATAAAAATATATAAAAATTTAAAAATAAAAATTTTGGTTAAAATATTTGACAATTATCCAAAAATGAAATTTTAAAAATTTTAAATGATAAATTTCTTAAGAAATCTCTGTGAGAAATTTCTTTAAATTTGTCCCAAATGGTGGAAGAATTTAAATAAATTTTAATAAAAAATAGTTGTCATATTATTTTCTTTTCAAAGATGAAAGAAAAAGAATTTCTAAATAGGTTCAAATGATAAAAGATTTATAAATTAAAAAATGAAGATATTTCTAATTTTGTTCCACATGGTGAAAAAATTAGATATATTTTTAACAAAAATAAAAATATAAAATATAAAAAGAATTAAATCTTTTCGATGATGAAACCTCTTCAAGGAAACAAATAAGATTTTTGAATACTCTTAAAGTAATGAAATATTTTTAAAAATTCTGTCAGATTGATGGAGAGTCTTAAAAATTATTTTTAGTATTCAAATTAAAATTTAAAACCATTAAAATCAAGATCTTATGATAAATTTTAAATAAAATCGTATCAATTTTTGGATGGACATGTAGGGATATTATAATTTTTTTCATATGTAATCAAACTTTCGAACCATGTTCTGATTGTTATATCTGAATTTATTCTTTTATAGACCTTTAGTTAAGCTTAAGAGTTCCTTAAAAAGATATATTCATTAGGTGTCTAATTATACCTAATTAAAAAATATTAGTGACGACTATATTTTTAAGTCTAGCATAAATTTTTGAATTTATATGTTATGATAGTCATTTTATTAATTTTATTTGTAAACTTTAAAATTTTCACACTAAATAAAATAATTTCTCTTTTATTATTTGTAAATAATAACATCACCGTGATTAATTTCCTTACGAAGGGGTTCATGTATTAGTAGACAAAATCAGCAATTTTCAAGACCTTTCTCTAAGCTTTAAACACTTGTTAAATCTAAATATTGTTGGGACTTGGGAGCAGCACAAAGACCCACATTTAATTTTGATTGTCGTGCAGAGAGATAGCTAGGCTGATGTATTAGCTAGTTTCTTAGTATTGTTTTGGTAAAAGTTAATTTCACTTTCTCCAATAAAATTCTTAATCTCCACCTATTTAGTGATCCCGTGCAATGGGAAAATAAATTCATTTCAAGCATTACCCTCTGCTTCCGTAATCCGAAACGACTTAGACGAAGTTATTGGGTAAAATTTATAAAATTTTTAATTAAAAATTATTAAATAAAAATTGAAATTAATAAATTAAAATATCTCATTACATAAATTAAATATATAAAATTTTAAAAAAATTTTAATAAATTTTAATATAATTTTTAGATAAATATTTTTAATAAAAATATTAATAAAATTTTTATTATTAAAAAATTATCGATTAAATTTAATTTATAAATAATATTTTTAATATATTTTTTATATTAAATTTTATCAATCTATCAATTTAAAATTTTTATTAAATTATTTTTTATAAAAATTTCACAAATTTTATTTAAAAAACTTTATATAAGTTTTCTCCGTAGTCCCTCCCTAACAACTGTTTGCTCAATGTTTTAGGATAAGCAATCGGTTGGTTTTGGTTGATTCGATTTTAATCGATCAATTAATTCAATTATTAGTTAATTTTAATAAAAAATAAATTAATCAATTAAAGAGTAAAAATAAAAATAAATCAAATCAAAATAAATTGATTGATTTTTTTTGTATTTTACTTTTTTAATTTTGAATAGATAAAGAGATAATTTACAAAATAAATCAATGAATTTTAATAAGGGATCCATACATTTTCAAAAATGGTCTATCTATTTGTAAAATGAATTTATCTATTTACAAAATAGATTGACTTTTGCAAGATGGGTCTATCCCTATGTAAAAAAAAGATCTATATATTTATAAAAAAATATATATTTTATTTGATAATTTTCAATTTTTTGGATTGATTCGGTTCATAAATTTTAAAATCATAAATCAATCGATTATATTGCTCAAAGCTGACCACTAAAAAAACCCCACTAAATCCAAAAAAATCAATTCTGATTTAGTTAGATTTTAATTTTTCATCAATTTATTTGATTAAAACCGACTGATGCTCACTCTTACTTTTGCATCAAGTTGTGTCATGGTCCCCCCATTGACGGAGGTAATTTAAAATTGGTTGATACAAAGACCCTGGAAGAAGTCATCTGTCACCTACTCTTTTTATCCTTCCCTGTTTCCAGAAAGCTGTGGGCCCAATAGATTCATACCACTGCACTGGAGAGATTGTGAAATGATCAAGGCACCAGAAAATGAATTTAGAGATATCGGTTTTTTTAAGAGATGTCGTTTAAGAAAATTGAGATTTAAATTTTAGTATTTATAATTTTTTTATTTTTAAATTGTAATTTTTTATAAAGGCAATTGAAAATAGATTTAAAAATTAATTCAGTTGTTGATTTAACTGTTATTTTTGAAAAATAATACTTAACAAATTTTAAAATTGGATTTTAGTATTTATAATTTTTTTTTTTTAAGATTTCGATCATTTTATAAAGCAAAAGACTAGAGAATACTGCAGCAGCTGGGATGGAAATCAGCATGTCCCATTCCAACAAGCAATCCAATCTGTAGATTTCTCGGTGGAGCCCACAATCCCAGAAGGGGTTTCCAGGACCCCCAAAGTTGCTTCAAGTGGACAAATCCCCCACCCTGAAACGAGTATTTTACACGGATACTTTATGATCTCGACCCATTTTCACATGGTTTCTGAGATGCCGATTCCATATTAACTAGGACATAGTTACCATTACATCCTTGATGATTTTATCCGAAAGTTTTAATTGCAAGGACAAAATGGGTAGCTGAAGATGTTTGAATGAAGGTAAGGAATCTTAGCCATTAATCTTCCCGGATGGTGGCCACAGGCTTCACAAGGCAGCTTCCTCCTAGCTTCTTTAGCAAATCATCCTCCGAATATGGTAGTTACAACACAGAAGGAATAATGCAACAGTAAGAAGGAAGCCCATTACATGCTGAAAGCTACTCATCCAATGTGGTCTACGAGATCTATATATCACTTGTTGCTATCTTCTTTCTATGATCTTCTGTGAAGCAATGGTGGAGTAGAAAGGGATGGGGAAGACAGCAAAATGGCTTAAAAGTTTCTTGACAGGCAAGAAAGATAAGGAGAAAGAGAAAGGAAAATACACAAGTAATCAGAATTCTTCTGTTGCCTCAGAGAAACCAGCCACTCCCATTTCAATCCCACCAACAACTCCTCAAGAGAAAAGGAGATGGAGTTTTCGGAGATCTTCAGCGACGGCAACGCTTATAAAGAACTTGAATTGTACAGAACAAGTAGCTACTATTCCAACACCTTCAGTGGAGGCCACCTTGGACAATGAGGATGAACAGAAAAAGCATGCCATGGCAGTGGCAGTGGCTAGAGCAGCAGCTGCTGATGCTGCTGTGGCAGCTGCACAGGCTGTGATCCGGTTAACAACTGCTGCCAATGAGATAGCCAGCGCAGCTGAAGAGGCAGCTGCCATAAAAATTCAGTCTGTCTTTCGATCATATTTGGTATGTAACTTCTCAACAATCCACGTATATTTTTGTAGCTAATTTATCTATTTGCACGCATTATGAGATTGGAATTTTTGTTTCGTTGCTGTTATAACAGGCTAAGAAAGCTCTGAATGCACTGAAAGGTCTAGTAAAGTTACAGGCACTGGTAAGAGGTCACCTCGTGAGAAAACAGGCCACTGCTACTCTCAAATGCATGCAGGCATTAGTTACAGCACAAGCCAGAGCTCGAGCTCAGAGGATTCGGATGGTTGATGACGCGAAGCCTGCTAGCCAGAGGCAATCACCTCATAGAAGGTCAACAGTACATCAACGGATCAGGCATGCATATCATGTAAGTTTCGATTCATTTAACCAACCATAATGTTCAATTCTTGATTTTTTTATTTTTTATTTTTTTGTATAAGCAATATTCAATACATGATCTTCTTTGCCTTTCACATAGTTTTCTTTCAATCATCTGCTATTGAACATCTCAAAAAGAACATGTTTCATTTCTTTTTGCTATTCTGGAATATTATATTCCGTGAACCAATTACGGTAAAAGAATGTTTACACTAAAAGAGAAGCAGCAGAGCAGTAGATCTATTTCAGTTGTCAGATGACCATTTTCCATTCTTATACATTCAATAGGCAATATGATCTTTGTTCATGTAGGATATTGATAGAGGAATGGAAGAAAACATTAAGATTGTAGAGATGGATCTTGGTGATTCAAAGGGAAGTTTGAAGAGTAAAAATAGCTATTCCCACCATCCACAAGCAGAACGAGTAGTGGAACATAGATTCTCAACTCATTATCCCTCAAATCATGCATACTCGAAGCAAGAAAATTATCAGGTATCTCCAGCACCATCAGCTTTGAATGACATGAGCCCCAGAGCCTGCAGTGGTCATTTTGAGGACTATTCTTTCAGCACAGCAGAAAGCAGCCCCCAGTACTATTCATCTATCTCCAAACCTGATCCATCAAAACTTCCTTCTGCGTTCCCAAGGCCAGAATATGCAGATTCAGTGTCATATGACAACCCCTTATTCCCCAATTATATGGCTAACACAGAATCTTCAAGAGCCAAAGTCAGATCACAAAGTGCACCGAAGTCAAGGCCGGATTCATTTGAAAGGCAACCAAGCAGGCGAAGGGCATCGATGGAAGGCAGAAATCATGTCCCCAGGGCAGTAAGGATGCAGCGGTCATCTTCACAACTTGGAGCCACTGCTCAAAACTACCAATACCCCTGGTCAATCAAACTTGATAGATCAGCAGTATCCGTTAAAGGCAGTGAGTGTGGATCCACCAGTACGGTACTCACAAACACCAGCTACTGCAGATCCCTTGTTGCATATGATGTAAGTATGAAGTAACACCAAAAGCAAATCATCAAAATGTCGGAAATGATTCATTTTCGTTTACATTTTTAGTTTGGTTGATTTCTGTGGCTGCAGCCTCATGGAGATAGATACTAAAAGCACGTATCTCTTACCATTGGGACTGAGATAGCGTGTGGTTCAGCTCAACTGAAAAAATATGCAGATATACATCAAATAAATAGAGCAAGCTTCAAATGGTGGGAGAAGCCAAAGGAACTGACATCCATGATTACTCTTGATCAATCTGAGATCAAATTCTATGCCAAAAAAAATCCAGGATTCCCCATTATATCTTTTTCTGAGAAATAAATCTAAAGTACCACACCATAAATACGCTCTAACTTTATTTAAGAGAGGCATGGGGATTTTCTGTTCCCCACAATGATCATAATTACAGTAGCACCAGCTTCATGGTTTGCTTAAAAGCTGAAAATTTGCAGTTATATTCATGAATGTAATGTTCCAGTAAACACTTAAATATATCTTTATTGGTTTTGCACTTCAGCAATCAAATTATATGGCAGTTCCTGTAGGAGATCGATTTTCCTCCCATTAGGATACCGGACATTGACACTGTCAGGGGGATCCATTTGCTGTCTATTTTTTTTACATAACTACATATAAGTTTAGGTGAGGGGAGGCTCTCATTCCCGTAGTCATGACATACCATAAGTTTCAGTCAAGATTTACATTTGATTTACAAATTGTTTACTAACAAGAGTTGTTGGTAACGAAAGTCAAACCCAAGCTTACAAGTGAAATACTCGATCCTTACAAAAGAATATTCAATTTTTACCTACTCAATCAATATAGATAATCTCAATTAAAATAAAATTTCTTTTACAAAATATAAAAAAACAGTAGTTTCCTATAGGTTTGGAGTTCTTGTGAGCAAAATGGGTTCGAACCTTCACATTGCCTAATGGGCTGGTCCCTGTCGCTTTACCAGCCGAAGTCAATGAATCAAAGCAGATAGAAAGCCTTTTCGGCTTTAAGCTCCATAATTCGTTGTCCACAATGATTTGAATATGCCTCTGTATTGGGGCTTAGTTAAAACTGATGCCCAAGATTGTTTTACGAGTCTAGACAAGCATGAGGAGCATAGGAAGGCCCCTTAGGTCTATAGATTTTGGTAGAGGTGGTAGATATTAAGTCGCTTCGGCTTTAAGTTGTCTCAAGCTCGATTCAAATTTCATACAAATCTTAATTTTTTACCGAAGCTTGTTTAATAAATTTTAAATTTTTGTTCAAGTCCTCTATCTATTAGGAGGGTCTTAGAATTTGGGTGAGTGATCTGATATTTGAACAATATGATTCCACTTTAAATTTGCTTTTAAGAATATATGAAACGTGTAATTTTATTGTTAAATGTTTTATATTAGTTATAATTAATAATTGGATAAATAGAAAATTAATTTTTAAGTAAAAAATACTAATGCCTTTATATACAGTGAGTGGACATTTAAAAAAAAAAAATCATTTGAACGACTATCCTTCTTTAGTGAGTTCCATCACTTTTAATACAAAAAGAAAAAAAAAAAAAACCTTAAGCTGGAGATAAAAAATAAATTATAAATGTTGAGATTAAAACTATAGATTTATTAGATATAATTTATTAAACTAATTGCATAAATAAAATAAATTAAATTCAAATTCAATATTATTAACTCTCACTATTCCTAATATGTTATTTAAAAAAAAAAAAGAAAAATTATCACTCGATTCTCAATTAAAGTAGGAATCCATAAACTATACTATCTGATATAATTGCTCGGTGCTGTTAGTACTGCAAATTCACTCAATTAGAAATCTTTTTGAAGCTTTATTAATGACGATGATACAATAGCAGAATCTTTATGAACAAATCAAATCATAGCAACAAATACATATGAATAATTGTTAAGATTTTGTTATGACAAGTGAAAAGATGACAAATACTTCGTACACGATGTGTGCCACAATGTAGGCATCATTCAAATGGCTAGAAATAGAAGACAAAAAATTATAAAAAAACAAAGGACAAGTTTTGTTCCTAAAAAGGAAAAAATATGGATCTGATCTCAATCATAGATATGAAATCTAGTCCCTGAAGAAGACATTGCCATTGCCTATAAATGAAAGTTTCGTTTATTTGGCACAATTTAATTTTTAAGAAATATTTATATTTTTTTAAACAGTAAAAATATTTTGTTACTTGAATAAGTTAATAAAAAATGTTTTTTGTTATTTAGTTATTTTTTGAAATTTTTTTTAATATATTATGTATATATAAAACACTTAAAACAAAATTATTTATTATTTATGTTAATATTTTAAAATATTTAAAATAGTATTACTATTCTTAAAATATTATTATTTTTATTAATATAATAATATTAAAATAGCAATATTTATTATTAAAATATTAAATATTTATACTATTAAAATAGTTATATTTTATATTAAAAGTATCTATTATTAAATCATAACAAAAATGTTATTTATTCGCATTTATTATTAAAATAATAATATAAATACATTAATAAATAAAATATAAAATAATATAAGTTAAATTGAAACATAATAAGAAATTGTTAAAAATATTCATTTTATGAAAATAATAATAATATATTATTTAATATTAAATATTAAAATAATAAAAATATTACTTAATATATTAATATTTGTTATTAAAATAATAATATAATAGTATTTATTATTGATATAACAAAAATATTTATGCTTTATAATATACAAAATATAAACATTTAAATTAAAATATCAAAAGAATTATAATGTTAATATTTTAATATTTTAATTAAAATTAAATAAAAATATTTTTTATTAATATAATAATATTTCATATCAAATCAAATCAAATTTAAACTTAAAATATCATATTTAAGGTTTTACTTGAGTAGAATTATATAAATACTTTTTAAATTAAAATATTAAAAAAATTTTAATATTAATATTTGAAAATTTTAAAGTAAAATTAAATAAAATTATTTTTATTAATATAATAATATTTGAAGTTGTGTCAAATCAAATGAGTTTAAAAGATGTCATAACAATTTTAGAGATTGTTAGACGAAAATTTTAAACATTTCAAAAACAGAGAGAGTTGGCACCAATATTTTTTTTATTAGGTGTAATTGGTTAGTTAAAATTTTTATCTTTTCAATAAAAATTCAAAATTAATTAAAATATATTAAAAAGATAATTTTTTATCCATAAAAATTAAATTTGAGTTCGAAAGTATGATTATACGGGGAGTGTTATTAAGATGTCTGTTGTTTTTGAAACAATTCAATGTAATTGTAACCTCTAATTGCTTATATCTAAAAGTACTAGGATAGTCTTTTATGTATGGATCATTTGTTTTTTATTATTTTAATAAAAGATTAGGAATTTGCATTTGTTATTCATTTCTTCTATCATTTTTTATTTTCCATTTTTCAAGCGAATACTTCTTGATAATATTTTTCATTTCATATATTTTTAGGTTCCTAAATGAATACGAAGATAATCATAATAACAATTAGGAATTTAATTTTGAAAGCCTAATTTACGTTAATGAACTTGATAAAGAAGATAACTTTGAAGATTACACTTTGCCCCTTAATCTAATGAGACTAATTGAACAAGAGAATAAATTGATTGAGTCTCATCAAGAAATCATTGAACTGATAAATTTAGGAAATGATGAGAATTAAAAAAAAAAAAAGTTAAAGTCAGCACTTTGCATTTGTTGGCTGATAGGTGAGGTTAGATGATCTATTTCGAGAATTCGTGGATGTGTTTGCTTAGTTCTATTAAGATATGCTAAGACTTAGCACTGAGATAATGAAAAATAGGTTGCACATGAAGCCAAAATGCATAATGGTTTAATAGAAATTAAGATGAATGAAGATTGAAATGTTGTTGAAGATTAAGGAAGAAGTACAAAAATAATTTAAAGCAAGTTTCTTACAAATGACTAAATATCTGGAATGGGTAACCAACATAGTACTTGTCTCTAAGAAGGGGAAAAGTTCAAATATTTGTTAATCATTGTGACTTGAATAGAGCTAGCCTAAAGGACAATTTCCCTTTGCCTTACATTAATATTGTAGTGGATAATATGACTAGACATTCCATGTTTTCTTCATGAATGGCTTCTCAGGGTATAATCGAATAAAGATGGCCTAAGATGATATGTAAAAACTATTTTTGTAACCATGTAAGGGACTTTATGTTACAAAGTCATACCTGTTAGATTGAAAAATGCTAGGGCTATTTATCAAGGAGCCATGATGACACTCTTTCATGATATGATGTATAATAAGATCGAAGTGTATGTGGTGATATGATTACGAAGTACTGTGAAAAAGAGGATTATATCACCAATCTTAGAAAATTGTTTGAGAGATTATGGAAGTTCCAACTCAAGCTGAATCCATCAAAATGTACATTTAGGACTAAGTCAGGGAAGTTGCTAGGCTTTGTGGTTAGTGAAAAAAGAATTGAAGTCGATCTAGATAAGATATGTGCCATTTAAAACTTATCTTCTCTGATCGCGCCAAAAGAATTTTAAAGTTTTTTGGGTAAATCGAATTACATTTCTTGTTTCATTTCTCAGTTTACCTTTGAATGTGATTCCATTTTTAAGCTTCTTCATAAGAACAATCTTGGTGAGTGGAATGAAAAATTCCAAAAAGTTTTGATAAAGTCAAACAATACTTATCAAATCCTCCAGTTTTAGTGCTGCCTATAGCAAGAAAGCCATTAATCTTATATTTGACAATATGTGAGAAGTTAATGGGATGTGTGCTGGGTTAACAAGATGAAGTCAATAGGAAAAAACAAGCTATCTACTATTTGAATAAGAAGTTTATAGAATATGAGTTTAAATATTCTTAATTAGAGAATATATGTTATGCATTAGCATAGATAACCCAAAGACTTAGACAGTATATGCTCTACCACATCACTTGGCTTATAGCTAAATTAGACCTAATCAAGTATATCTTTGAAAAGCATTTGTTGTCTAAAAGGATTGTAAGATGATAAGTGATGCTCTCAGAATAAGGATATTAATCTTACTTATATCCAATGAGGAATCCGATTTTTTACCTAAATGGGGATAGGGATAGGTATTATGTTGTGGGTATAGGGATGAAGATGTGTATGATTTTAAATTTTTATTAGGTACGGGGATAGAGACAGGTAATATAGCATCTGTCCGATTTTCGTACCCTACATATATAGTTATATATATTTATAAAATAAATTTTTATTAAATAATATAAATTATTATTTTAAATTAATTAGAATTAATATATTTTTATTGAAAAAATTATATATTAATATATTTATAAAAAATTCTTAAATATGTAAGATAAAAATAAAAAAGGCTAAAAAAATAATTTTTATTTTTATTTTTTTTAAAAGCTATAGGTATGGGAATTACCCATATCTATTAAATACTCATGAAGATGGGGATAAAAATAAATTTAAAATATCTATTGGGTATAGGTATGGGGATAGACATAATATAAAAATTTAGAAATGGAGATGGGGAAAGCTTTACCCTCTCAATACCCTACCTATTGACATCTCTATCTTAGAATA